AGGGAGAGAGATGAGGAAAGTTGAGATACAGAGAGGAGATGAGAGAGTTGAGATACAGAGGGAGATGGGTGTGAGGGTAAGAAGGAGAGAGATGGGGAAGGGTGAGGATGCTGAGAGGAGAGAGGGGTGGGGTAAGAGGAGAGAGATAGAGATTGAGGATACAGAGAGAGGGAGAGATGGGGAAGGGTGGGATGCTGAGGAGAGAGGGAGAGAAGGGGTGAGGGTAAGAGAGGGAGAGAGATGAGAGATTGAGGATACAGAGAGAGGAGAGGGGAGTGTGGGATAAGAAGGGAGAGAGAGATGAAGGGTGAGATGGAGAGAGGAGAGGAGAGAGATGAAGTTGAGGATACGGAGAGGAGATGGGGTGGGGATGAGAGAGGAGAGATGAAGGGGTGGGGAATACAGAGAGGAGAGATGGGGGTGAGGGTAAGAGGAGAGATGAGAGGGTGTGAGATACAGAAGGGAGAGATGGGGGTGAGGGGTAAGAGGAGAGAGAGACAATGGTGAGATACAGAGAAGGGAGAGAGAGACAATGGTGAGATACAGACAAGGGAGAGAGAGACAATGGTGAGATACAGAGAAGGGAGAGAGAGACAATGGTGAGATACAGAGAAGGGAGAGAGAGACAATGGTGAGATACAGAGAAGGGAGAGAGAGACAATGGTGAGATACAGACAAGGGAGAGAGAGACAATGGTGAGATACAGAGAAGGGAGAGAGAGACAATGGTGAGATGCTGAGGAGAGGGAGATGGTAAGATGCAGAGGGAATATAAAGAAGGGAGGAGATAGAATGGTGAGACACAGGGAAGGAGAGAGAGAGAGACAATGGTGAGATACAGACAAGGGAGAGAGAGACAATGGTGAGATACAGAGAAGGGAGAGAGAGAGACTATGGTGAGATACAGAGAAGGGTGAGAGAGAGACAATGGTGAGATACGTCTCTAGGGGTGTTGGCTCTGTCTCTCTCACCATTATATTAGGGGAATGAGACAATATGGTGGGGACGGAGTTGAAGACAGACAAACACAGTCAACAGACAGAATAAGGCGGCGGTGAGGGACAGGCGGCGGTGAAGACCAGGCGGCGGTGAGAGACAGGCGGCGGTGAGAGACAGGCGGCGGTGAGGGACAGGCGGCGGTGAGAAGACAGGCGGCAGTGAGAGACAGGCGGCGGTGAGAGACAGGCGGCGGTGAGAGACAGGCGCGGCGGTGAGACAGGCAGCGGTGAGGGCAAGGCTGACGGTGAGACAGGCGGCAGTGAGAGACAGGCGGCGGTGAGACAGGCGGCGGTGAGACAGGCGGCGGTGAGACAGGCAGCAGTGAGAGACAGGCGGCAGTGAGGACAGGCGGCGGTGAGACTGGCGGCGGTGAGACAGGCGGCTTGCCCAGTGAGAGACAGGCAGCAGTGAGGAGACAGAGAGGATGCTTTTCAGATAGAGGCAGAGAGATTAAATATTTATTTAAGAGGACTGAGCAGTGTTGATGGTCAGGCTGTGTACAGACAGAGGCTGGATATTGTGTTTGTATTCACCAGAGGAGCTACTGTCTGTGTGTGTATGTTGGGGGTGGTGAGGTTGGTGTTTGTGGGTGGCTGGCTGGGTGTATGTGGGGGGTGAGGGTTGGTGTTTGTGGGTGGCTGGCTTGGTGTATGTTGGGGGAGGTTGGTGTTTGTGGCTGGGTGTGTATGTGGGGGGTGTTACTCTGTTAGACGACGTACAGAATCTAAGCAACGAGAGAGTGGATGGGGGTAGGGCGTAGAGGGGTAGACGAATAGAAGAGCTTGTGTATGTAGGATGGCTTTAGTGGGAGTAAGTCTCTCTCTCTCTCTCTCTCTCTCTCTCTCTCTCTCTCTCTCTCCGTGCAAGCATCTCGTCATTTATGTGTAGGTGCTTGGCGTGTCTGTATACTCTCGTGTGTGTATACCGTGTCCATCCATAAAAGCGTACGTATGTGAGTGAAGGTCGTCATTATGAGATGGGAGAGTGAGATGCTGTAGCCATGGTAACCGGGAGATGAACCAGAGAGAGAGAGAGAGAGAGAGAGAGAGAGAGAGAGAGAGAGAGATATATATATTATTTTTCTTGTTTGTGTTGTGTTTTGAATCCCAATTTTACCTGTTAATGGCTTGTTGCTTGGGCGTGAACGTAACCCTTAGCTCATGTTAATTTGTCCAGCCTCTTGTAGTTTGTGATTAGTCCAGTTAACCTTTAGTTTACCTGTGTCATGTTGAGCTTGAGGATATGTTAGTTTACGTCATGTTGTGTTAGTTTGTTTATGTTAAAGTCATGTTCGTTTTCAGGTTAGATTAGATTAGTTAGGTTAGCTTAATTTGGATTACGTTTAAATTGGGTATGTTATGTCTGGCTGCATCCACATAACGGTTTAGGATTGGTTAGGTTAGACCGGTACATTATACATGGCCAGGGGATTAGATTTCATCCTCTAGACAGGCACCAATCAGCGTACATCATACCCTCATACACGTTGATTCTACCAAGTCCCTCCCTGCCTCCCTGCCTCCCTGCCTGCCTCCCTGCCTGCCTCCCTGCCTCCCTCCCTGCCTCCCTCCCTGCCTGCCTCCCTGCCTGCCTCCCTCCCTGACTACCTCTGTGCAGTATAACTAACGAGGAGCTGTCTAACGCAGCTTTGTGTTGCTGATGAGATCTTTGACCACCTTTGTGTCGTCCCCTGAATGTGGTGGATTGTCTTATGTTCATGTGTCGCCACAATACCCGTCCGTCGTCATGTCTGTCTCCAGAACACAAGTATTTATATTTATATCTGTCTCGAGAATATCTGTCTGTCTATGTGTCGTTGTTACGTCGTATGTTGATATTCAGCAGGAGCGGGAGACACAAAGGCTTCACTAGACACTTGAAGATGAAGGATGTGATGCACAGTGATCAGCACCCGCCCGTTCTCCCTGTTGTAATATAGCCACAAAGCCCCAACTTGGTAATTTCAATTTTCCCTAATAAGTTGCGAGTTATTTTGAATATCCAGTAGATTGCCACTGCTAAGATGGGTTTTTTTTTCCAAGTTACATCACAGGATATTGTTTCTGGGCTGTGTCTGTTTGTTCGTCCGTTTCGTTATGGCTATCACCTCGTGAGCTGCCCAGCAACAACCGGTGGACTCACTTAAGGTCGTAAGTTGTACTGTGTATAAATAGGATATATTTTATTTTGATCTTGACCTCGGCACGACGACCAAGGCGAGCGTGAGGGCTCAGTGCTCCTCTGAACTTACTTAAAGTTATTAAAGTTTATCTTGTTCTTTTGCACGAGTACAAATTAATGTGCCGTTAGTTCCATGAATTATAGTGCGTGGTGTTCTATCTATAGTGAGGTTCAACAACCAAGCTCTCACCTCCTTACGGTTAGTGTTTGGGGCACCCTAGTCTGCCTAACGGAATGGGTACGTAACTGTTGGGAAAATGAAGACAGTTGAGTGCAGTGTCGGCGACATTACCTTGCGTAGTGAAGGTTAGTATACAGGGTCCACGGTGCCTAACAGCCTGCCACCCCTTGGGGTCCCACTGGTGTTAATTGTAGTAGATTTGTCTTCGTTTTCACCATAAATAAGGGTTTGTTTTGGTCACCTTTAAAACAAATTTTTCACTAAGTGTGTTGTGTGTGTAAATAAACATATTTAATTTAATTTACGATGTGTAGACGAGAAAGAATCTGACGTTCATTATTTAATAAAAGACATAAATTTTCAGTCTAATGTGAACATTTTATACTGTATCCACACTGTCCCTGGCCGGCTGTGAGGACCAGGAGGACACCTTCACTTCTTAGGACTTCAACCAAAACCGGGGAACTTAATTAATGTACAGCCACAGACTGAAGCATTACTGTATGTGGTCGCCTGTGTGTCCAGGATATTGTACATTAGTCCTGAATTTTGTTTGTGAACGTTTCACCTTGATAACTCTGTACCTGTACTGGTAATATTACAGTTTGTGCCTGTATATGTGTTCTTCGTATCTGTACTAGTGACATTACAGCTTTAGTTGAGCTTGAACAGTAGGTAAGAGTTAGTTTTCCTTCTGCCTGTAGTTGACGTATTAACTGAAAAGTAGTATATTAATTATCACCTCTCAGGTGAACAGCAGACAGGCAGGTAAAGTGATTATCATTATCCAGGGCGACAAGGAAACCTTATGATAATAATAATGAAAAACATGACTGTAAACGTTAAATGGAGGGGAACTAATCAGTTTCTCAACTCTTTGTGCTCGTCGAAGCCAAAGTAAAAAATAAGAAAATTGGATATTCAGTTTACTAAAAGAACAGGACTTGGGTTGTTGTGCCATTGATTACACCGGTAAGACGAGGATATTTACTCGATATGACGAAAAATAGCTCGTTCAACCACAAGACCTAATGATCATTAATATGTGGTTCAGTTTTTGTTGTAGTTATCGGCTTCTGTATCGATACGTGTGAGTATATAAATGTAATGTATTTTTGTACACGTACGCGGGTATCCAGTTCTCCTGTATGTAACTCGTCCTATCAGGTTACCTAACAAAATTATTATTGTATACATAACTTGTGCTCATTACCATAGTATCCTGGACGACCCTCGCGAGGTACAGCACACACGGAGGCCGCTGGTCGTTATGGTACGCACATGGAGGCCGCTGGTCGTTATGGTACGCACATGGAGGCCGCTGGTCGTTATGGTACGCACATGGAGGCCGCTGGTCGTTATGGTACGCACACGGAGGCCGCTGGTCGTTATGGTACACACATGGAGGTCGTTGGTCGTTATGGTACGCACATGGAGGCCGCTGGTCGTTGCGGTACGCACATGGAGGTTGCTGGTCGTTGCGGTACGCACATGGAGGCTGCTGGTCGTTATGGTACGCACATGGAGTGCCGCTGGTCGTTATGGTACGCACGCGGAGGCCGCTGGTCGTTGGTGGTACACACATGGAGGTCGTTATCGTTGCGGTACGCACATGGAGGCCGCTGGTCGTTATGGTACGCATGACGGAGGCCGCTGGTCGTTATGGTACGCACACGGAGGCCGCTGGTCGTTATGGTATTTACATGAGGCCGCTGGTCGTTATGGTACGCACACGGAGGCCGCTATCGTTGGCGGTACGCACATGGAGGCTGCTGGTCGTTATGGTACGCACACGGAGGCCGCTGGTCGTTATGGGTACACACATGGAAAATAATAATCTAGCAGAATGTGAGGCAGATTGACGTTAAGTGTCGAAGTTTGTGTTCATTAAGTTTCGGTGGAGGAATATGTCCCAAGCCTGTGATGGAAGGGAGGGGGGGGGGAGGGAGAGAGAGGAGGAGGGATGGATTGAGGGGAGGGGAAGGGATGGAGAAGAGAGGGGAGGGGTGGATTGAGGGGAAGGGAAGGGTGGGAGGGAGGGATGGATGGAAGGAAGTGAGGGACGGGGGTCTATCTTCTCGCTCAACCCTCCTTCCCCCTTTCCGATTCCCTCCTCTCCCTTCCAGTATAGTATCTGCTGGGTAGAGGAACTTTCTCCTCTCTCAACCCTCTCCTCCTCCTCCTCTTTCCTTTCCTCCCACCCTCTCACTTCCCTCTCATCCTCCTCTTCTTCCTTCACACCCCCACCCTCTCCTATCTCCCACCCTGTCCTCAACCCCGTCCTCTAATCTACCCCGCCCTCTCCTCTCCCACTCGCCCCCTCCTTCTCCTTTTCCCCCCACCCTCTTCTCCTTTTCCCCATCCCCCACCCTCTCCCTCTCTTCACCCTCTCCTTCCTTTCCCCACCATTTTCTCCTCCCGTGTGTGTGGGGGGAGAGGAAGACGCAGAGAAGAGCTTGTGTATGTGGGACGACTTTTGTGGGAGTCGGTCTCTCTCACACACACCAGCGCTAAGGGAGTTACAAACATCCTCACATCACCATCTAGAATAAAACCACTCTTTGACTCCCATTTTTTGTCTTCATATTTAAAGCGAGTCGATTAGATTCTCAGGTCTACAGCGACAGAGCAAAAGAGGCTATTTTTATCGGCAACTTATTTTCAACATCTTTTAGTCATAACTTCTAGGTGTCTCATACAGTCTCTCCCTCGGTGTCGGAGAAAACATTGGAAGGACTTTTTTTCTTTAGTCCTGATTCGTAAATACGCCACACACTTATAGGACGTCTTCCTTTAGGAGTGTATAAGAGGCAGCCTTTAGGATTCCCCAGGCCCTGTGTTCACCCAAAACCTCACGGAGGGCGCCGTCCCACATAATCCTGTAAGTTAGGTGAAGGAACAGCAGAAAAATCTTATTAGGGGCGAGGGAGTCGCTCCAGGAAGGCGAGTAAATGCCTCCCTGTTTTCTCTGTCACCCGTAACCAAAAAATATTACCTAAAATGTGATAGGGATGTGTCCATGAGAGAGAGAAAGACGCACACACACATTTTATGATATATGGGTTTGGGGATATGTGGGCTCATGTGTGCCCTTATCAATATATATATAATTGAAATCCAGTGAAAAAAGAAGTTAGTCTTTTATAAATAGATGGATGAATAAGCGGATAAATGGAATTGTGGTGGGTAGAGAAACATAATATCAGGTTAAATTGAGAAGACATGAAAGTTGTGAAATATACAAGTAGAGGAACGTGATGTGATGTTTGTAAGGTCGGGGAGTAATTTTCCCTGTAAAGCTCCCATAATCCCATGAGGCTTCCAGAGACTGGTAGCTAGTCAGCCAACACAACTAAAGGTCAATGTGTAGCGCCAGGCAGCAGACTTTTACCGAAAATGTGTTGGAGTTATGAAGGTGTGATGGCAGTAGCCTAGAGAACCTGTCGACACGTGGAGGATTGTTTCTTTTATAATGCTGTCTTGACGAGCCATGGGGAGAGGGTTGGCTCGTGTGTGTGTTGCAGGGGTGGCTATGGGTGTTTGTGTTGCTGGTGCCGCCCCTAACGTATATATGAGCTGCAGACGCCGCCCCCTTATGTTTATACGAATTGCAGGCGCCGCTGTCACCTATGTTCCTGGAGTTGCCTTGATAGTGTGTTGCTGTGCTGCATAATAATAATTATAATAATATTCGTCCGTTGCAAACCACGCCGTGATATTTATATGGGGGTTTGTAAAGGCCTTCATCTATACGTGTTGTAGGGGTGTTTGGGTGGGTGGGTGTTAATATTTATATGGGCCAATGTTATATTTATAGGTACTGCACTTGTTGTAGGGGAGACCTTAGGGATGCAAGTTGCAGCGATTGCCATCATATTTGTGTGCATTGCAAGATGTTAGTTCAGGTTCTGATGATGCAAGGAGTACGGTATAGTTATAGTTAGGTAATGTAGTTGTTTTACAGGGCCGGCCATCATATTTTTTCCGTGTTGTAGAGATGCCTGGAGTGTTAGGTGTTATGCTTGTGTTGTATTGGGGGAGTATGTAAGAGCAGTGTTTTGTAAGGATTGGCTTCCCGAGTGTTGCATGAAGCTGTGGTGTGTTTCTGGAGAACTTTTGTGTCCAAATTTATGGCAGAAGATCGTGTTTCTATACTGGGTGTTTCAGGGAATAAATATTTATATATTGCAGGATGTTTCAAGAACTGCTGTTTTTTCATGTGTGTTGCAGGGGCCTCCGACTTCGTACGTGTTGCGGGGATGTTCTCATATTTTACTGTTGCAGGTGGGGCCTCATTCACAAAGGTTGTATAAATTGCCTTATACATATGTATCATTTTATATTGCAGGGGTTGCCGCAGACGCCCAAGAGCGGAGCCAAGTCGTGTCCGTACAATGGGGTGGACCGCGCGTCTCACCCGCCCGAGTGGGCCACCGCACCAGATGATGACAATGTGAGTGTCTGTCGTCTTGTTTGTTTACAGTGTAGGGGACGGCAGGTGATGGGTCCTTATCACCAAGTTAATAGCGACAATATTCTACTACAACTACCAGAATGTTTAATATACAATTTTAAATTTAATTAGGTCTTTACTTTTGTCTTATTTATTTTCGATTTAATTGAAATTAAAATTGTACATGATCATTATGGATGACGAGACCTTTTGTAATTGTATCAGATGAAATAACAGTTCACTTTATATGGCGAGGTGGAGATGTTTATTGTAGGAACTTCTTTACAACTGTAATTTTATTTTTAATTTGATCATTACTAGATAAGTTTGAGTTATATAAATATCATTATAATATTTTTAATATTAAGAGTAGTTGTGTATTGGTTTGTTTACTTGTTTGTCTCACTTTTACGACACGATGTTAAGATAAAGTAGCCGACTGCTGGACCATCATCAAATGTAAACAAGTAAAATTTGGCAGACTTGTGTAGGAGAGGTGAGGAGGAGGCCTGGAGGGTGTGGAGGGGAGGGCTAGGGCCTGGGGTGTGTGGAGGGGAGGGCTAGGGCCTGGAGTGTGTGGAGGGGAAGGCCAGGGCCCGGGGTGTGTGGAGAGGAGGGAGGGCCAGGGCCTGGAGTGTGTGGAGGGGAGGGCTAGGGTGGGAGGGAGGGAGGGCCTGGAGGTGTGGAGGGGAAGGCCAGGCCGGGGTGTGTGGAGAAGAGGGAGGGCCAGGGCCTGGAGTGTGTGGAGGGGAGGGTCAGGGGTGTGTGGGAGGGGAAGGCCAGGCCCGGGGTGTGTGGAGGAGGGAGGCCAGGCCTGGGAGGTGGGGAGGGGAGGCCGGGGCCTGGAGTGTGTGTGGGAGGGGAGGGCTAGGGGCCTGGAGTGTGGAGGGGAGGGGTCAGGGGTGGGAGGGGGCCAGGCCGGGGGTGTGTGGGAGGAGGGAGGCCAGGCCTAGGGCCTGGAGGTGGGGAGGGGAGGGCCAGGGCCTGGAGTGTGTGGAGGGGAGGGAGAGCCAGGGCCTGGAGTGTGTGGAGGGGAGGGCCAGGGCCTGGAGTGTGTGGAGGGGAGGGCCAGGGCCTGGAGTGTGTGGAGGGGAGGGAGAGCCAGGGCCTGGAGTGTGTGGAGGGGAGGGCCAGGGCCTGGAGTGTGTGGAGGGGAGGGCCAGGGCCTGGAGTGTGTGGAGGGGAGGCCAGGGCCTGGAGGAGTTAGGGCGGCGCGCGTCATGAAGCAGGAGGTTTTTGAGCCATTACCTTCCGACACAGCCTCCAGGGGCCGCTCTCAAGGCTTGATGGCCCACTCTGGTATCAGCCAACAAGGTTATTGACTCTGCTTTAAAGGGATCCTCAGACTAAAAAGAAAGGATCCGCCGTGATTGTACGTCGGCCTCATCAACTCCGCCGCGGCACTAAACTTGCTGGTAACTTGATCGTCTCATCAAGATGGGTTAAGTTTGGTTACACGGAGGAAGTTGGTAGCTCTACCTGATACTTTGTTCTGGATTGTGTTAGTATTTGGGCCATCAACCAGGGCTCTGCCTTTCCCCTCACACCTGATGACACAAATGACACTATCAGTGAAAATCCTCCCCCGGTGATAGCGGCACCGCATGGCTGTCCCCAGTAATCCCTAAAGCTGGTACACTTGGCCACATACTATCATTTCCCCGTCCTCCCCTCGTTATATATGATACACGAAACAATCTGGCCCTCTCTCACGACCCTTTGTGCTGTGAGTATGGTACTGTCTGTCCTTCCACGCATCCCAAAAGCTGGTGGCACTAGAAGGCTCAACCTGTGTATGTGGGCCATCAACACTGGCTCTACCTCCCCTCACACCTGCTGACATTAATGACATTAGCTCTCGCCCTGTCTCCCGGTCCTTAGAGGTGGTGGCACTGTAGGCCCTCCAGTGAAATCTCAAATGTTGGTGGCACTGTAAAAGCAAAAACTGTGTTTCTCTCTCACAGTGACATTAATGGCACCCATGTCTCCCTTAATGATGGCCCCATGGTGTTGGTGGCACTGAGAACTATATAGCCCTTAATACTGGCCTCGCCTGTAACCCCAAATGGTGATGGCACTCCGAGATAAATACGGCACTGCCTCCCCCTCACACTTGGTGACACTAATGGCACTAACCTGCCCTCTCGCGTCCCCTGGTGGTGGTGGTTCTGTTTAGTCCTTAGTAATGACTTCTCCGGCAGGTATCGGCTGCTGATGACACGACACAACGCATGTTTTGTTTTTTTTCTGTCCCTTAACACCTGGTGACAGTAATGGCACTAAACCCGGCTCTGTCTGGCGGTCATGGTGGCAGCGTGTAGTATCCTCCTACACAGTGTCAGATGTTGATAACGTTTACCTAACACTTCACATAACAAATTTTGACCCGCCTCTGGCTTTTGTTGTTGACGCTATATACGAGGCTGGGGACGCTCACCCCAAAATCCCCGGTGCTTTGGTACAACAATTCCCCAAAAGTAGATCTCCTTTCCAGCATACTTCATGGTATTACTTGCCTGTGGCACTGTCTGTTGTTCCACATGTTGTCGACTTTTTTTCCTGTGAATGAACAAAAGCTACAGACAACGAAATGTCCACTCAATTACTGGAACAAAAACATTTGCGAGTCGCCCCGCGGTAGCCTGGTGTCACGTATCACAGGTTAAGGTAGATGGTGTACCTCCCTCTTTTTGGTCGGGATATTCGTGCACCTGTTGGATTTTATAACAAGGTGGTGGCAGTATGGTGGTGCTACTGGCCTTACCTACCTATCACTCCATAGCCTTATTTACCTCCTTCACGGTGCTAGGCCCTCGGTGCTGATAATGTCCCCAGTTGTCTCCCACCACGCGTGACGCTTGGTGGGAATATTACCAAACAATTTCTTCCTGTCATTTATTTGGTGTAACACGGGTGCTGGTGTCTCCCTGGCCCTTGGTATGAGCATAATAGTGCTATTCATGGCTCCATGATGGTGAGTGACTATGGTGATGACAGTGACTCCATGGTGGTGATAATGACTCGTGTGGTGACAGTAACTATTTTGATGACAGTGACTCTTCATGGTGGTGACAGTGTCTATGGTGGTGAGTGACTCTCCATACCGGCGCCACACTAACACCATCTCTTCCTCTGACAGTCGCTGGTGTACGAGGACGGGGTGCTGGTGTCAGGGTCTCTACAGGCGCTGGTTCAACACGCTGTGCCCACCGCCGTCTACTATCCCGACACCGCCTACCTCTTCGCCTTCCTTCTCTCCTCTCGGCTCTTCATCAAGCCCCACGAGCTGCTCCAGCGTGTGTGTGACGTAGGCTTCACCCAGCAAGGGCTTAAGGGCAACGACCTCGGCACTATCAATAAGGTAAACACCACAATATCTGCTACTATCTCTACATGTATTACGATCACTTGAAGATTAGGCACCCCAGCTTGTTTCACCTGGAGATTGAATAACTTAATTCCTAACATAACTTAGCCTAACTTAAAGCTAATCCCGAAAGTAACGTTAGAGTCGTTAATCTTAAGGTGAGAAAAGCTGGGACAAATCTTCACTACAGGTGATCTGCATATTTTAGTGTGTGTGTGTGTGTGTGTGTGTGTGTAATAACCCCAGTATTGTAATGACGTCATGTCCGCCACAGGAGAAGCTGGGTAGGTTTGTGCCTCACATGGTCCAGCTGCTGGGGGAGTGGAGTGAGACCTTCCCCTATGACTTCCGTGACGAGCGCATGATGGGCGGCGTGCGCACCATGACGCATCGCTGTATAGCCCTGGAACCTTCTCTACGCCGCGACGTCACACAGGTGAGTCTTTCTTTTCACCTACATCACCTGGAAAAATAAACTTTACGCATTTCATTCAATAGTTCACCTGAAATGACATCACCCGAAGAAAAAGTTGACCATTTATTCCCAATTTCAATCATTAGTTTGCTAAAATAATAATGTTGAGTTGGTAAAATAAACTGGCATTTTAACTCTGTCATTAAAATTTATCACCTGAAAAAATTCTGACAAAAGTAGTAGTATTTTTTTTGGGGGTATTTACCTGCGTCTCTTATTTATTTGTGTGTAAAAAAAAAATGTTTGTTAGGGAGTCAAGTAGCAGCATTTTAACATAAAGTAGAAGTTCAGGTAGAGAGAGTTGGTGAGATTATGTGGTTACCTGAACTTTAACTTTGATCATCTGGTGTTACCTGTGACCTGGTGCCCCCCTCTACAGGTACTACACAACCTGCTGAACAAACTGACGCAGCTGGAACGGTACGAGGAAGGTCTGGCCAAACTCTCGCCTCCTCCACCTTCTGATTTCATTCCTCAGGTGAGTGTTACTGCTACATTACCTGTTATTATTTAGTACCTGTTACTCGTGAACCCCGTCAAGTTGCTCCCTCTTACCTATTAATCTACAATCTCCTCCCAGTTACACCCTGGTACCCATTATCTTGCCCCCCTCCCTCCCTCCCTCCCTCCCTCCATCATACTGGCTTCGACTGGGATATGCCAAATTAGACAAGACTCTAAAACACTAACTACGCCTCCACTACCAAAGGCTACCTAAGGCTACCCATGTTGATAGAGACGCCACAAATCCAATAAAGGGAGATCTTCTAATACCAGGAAGCGTCAACCAGACCTAACAAACATAAGCGGCTTTGGTATACACTTCAATCCCACTATAATGACGGTGATGAATGTGATCGTAGAGTCATAAGAGTTTACATGTTTGACTGACCTTGGCGGCGGCTGTGAATGTGAAGGGAAAGTGATTGAATATGACTTAGAATTTAGATTTGTGAAAGGAGGGTTGCGTTGTGTATGGGGGACGCCGCATTGTGTCTTGGATGTAACGCATATTTAAGGGGAATCTGTTGCAATAGGACAGGTGTTGTGTGTTAGTATGTTGGAGTAGGACAGGTGTTGTGTGTTAGTATGTTGGAGTAGGACAGGTGTTGTGTGTTAGTATGTTGGAGTAGGACAGGTGTTGTGTGTTAGTATGTTGGAGTAGGACAGGTGTTGTGTGTTAGTATGTTGGAGTAGGACAGGTGTTGTGTGTTAGTATGTTGGAGTAGGACAGGTGTTGTGTGATAGTATGTTGGAGTTGGACAGGTGTTGTGTGTTAGTAGAAGTCGTAGTTGGAGTCACGTGTGGATAATTTAATCATAGCCGGAGCCACGTGTGGCTATTTTAGACATAGTTGGAGTCATGTGTGGATATTTTAGTCATGGTTAAAGTCACGTGGATGTTTTAGTCATAGCTGGAGCCACGTGTGGATATTTTAGTCATATTTGGAGTCATGTATGGATATTTGTCATAGTTGGAGTCATGTGTGGATATTTTCGCCCACACTTCTCTCCATCCCATACTCTTTCTCTTCCTCCCACATTCCCATTTCCCTCTCTACATTGTTCTTCCCCTCACTCCCATATTCTTATTCTCTCTCTCTTTTCTCTCTCTCTCTCTTCTCTCTCTCTCTCTCTTTCTCTTTCTCTCTCTCTCTCTCTCTCTCTCTCTCTCTCTCTCTCTCTCTCTCTCTCTCTCTCTCTCTCTCTCTCTCTCTCTCTCTCTCTCTCTCTCTCTTCTTTGTTCACCATTATCCTTCCTCACTCTCCCTGCCTCATGCTGTTCTCCCTTTATCAGTATCCTCCTCTCCCACGTTCTCCCTGCCACTCACTAACTTCTCTCTGCATTAAAATATATATTCTCCCTGATACAGTGCTCTCTCTTCTCTCTCTCTCTCTCTCTCTCTCTCTCTCTCTCTCTCTCTCTCTCTCTCTCTCTCTCTCTCTCTCTCTTTTCTGAACGCGTGTGTGAATGTTTGGACACCTGTCTTTATATGGAGTGAGAGATGTGAGATGAGGTAGAGGAGAGAGATGGATGAGAGCAAGAGAGAGAAAATGAGATAGAAAAAGAAGAAGGGAGACGGGTGAGAGCGAGGGAAGAGGAGATAGAAAAAGAAGAGGGGAGACGGGTGATAGCGAGAGAAAGAAAGAATTTATCAATAAATATAAAATACCTTTATTTCATTACAACACAAATAATTCGTTTATTATTACACTTGACCTATAAAGACAGACACATGCTGAATGTTCCTCGGTAAAACAATAGAATTTTGGCGTTGTATCGTAATTCTTTTGTTTTATGTGCATCTCATCCCTCGGCTTTTGTTTGTGTATTCTTATACGTTTCTGTTCTCTCATTTATTCTGTGTTTCTTTGTGTTTTATATATATATATATATATATATATATATATATATATATATATATATATATATATATATATATATATATATATATATATATATATATATATATAACCACAAGGAAAGAAAAACACAAGTTCCCAAGCGCTTTCGTGTAATTCACATCTTCAGGGGTGAGTACAGACTAAAGAGAAGTACAAAACAAGGTGTATATATACAGAGGTGAGACCAGGTCCACAATGGTCAGGTATTAGTGTAGCCCTACTTATCTTTAAATAACACACAACGGTCTGGTAGTCAGGTAGTCTTTAGTCTGTACTCACCCTGAAGATGTGAATTACACAGCGCTTGAACTTGGCTTTGTTTTCTTCTTTCCTTGTGGTTATCAGCTATATATATATATATATATATATATATATATATATATATATATATATATATATATATATATATATATATATATATATATGTGTGTGTGTGTAGTTTTTCACCTATCACTCATTCTTTTGATCTCTCTCTCTCTCTCTCTCTCTCTCTCTCTCTCTCTCTCTCTCTCTCTCTCTCTCTCTCTCTTTTTTTTTTCTTCTTCTTCTTCTTCTTCTTTTATTGGTATCCGCCTCGGACATTCACCCTTGACTTTCACACTGGAACATTCGGCCTAAACATTCACCCTAGACGCTCGCTATAGGCCAGCCAACACATTAGCCATTTGGTAGTGGTAAGAGTGCTGTCGAGTGTGTGGGTTTGTGGTAGTTTGTCAAGAGAAAGAATTTAATGTTGCTGATATTGGACCCCACCGCTCTTACTGTACTGTGGTGGGGCGTCTCGTAGTGGGTGGTGGTGTGGTGTACTGTGGTGGCGTGTTTCCGAGTGGGTGATGGTGTGGTGGGGTGTTTCCTAGTGGGTGATGGTGTGGTGGAGTGTTTCCTAGTGGGTGATGGTGTGGTGGAGTGTTTCCTAGTGGGTGATGGTGTGGTGGAGTGTTTCCTAGTGGGTGATGGTGTGGTGGGGTGTTTCCTAGTGGGTGATGGTGTGGTGGAGTGTTTCCTAGTGGGTGATGGTGTGGTGGAGTGTTTCCTAGTGGGTGATGGTGTGGTGTACTGTGGTGGAGTCACACACTCTCATGACCCACACACACCCGTAACCCACACACTCCCACCCATCAACCCACCACCCTACCTATGCACCCGAGTTCAGTGTCCACTCTCAACGTCCACCCTTTCACCCTCCACACCCCACACCACGCCCTCCACACCCCACCCCGCCCTCCACCCCCACGCCTCCACACCCCACCCACGCCCTCCACACCCCCACCGCCTCCACCCACCCGCCCTCCACACCCACCGCCCTCCACCCCACCCGCCCTCCACACCCCACCCACGCCCTCCACACCCCACCCCGCCCTCCACACCCCACCCCGCCCTCCACACCCCCCACCACGCCCTCACCCCACCGCCCTCCACACACCCCCACCCGCCCTCCACACCCCACCCTCGCCCTCCACCACTCACCTCCACCCCTCGCCCTCCACACCCCCCTCCTTCCCTCCACACCCCACCCTCGCCCTCCCACCCCACCCCTCGCCCTCCACCCCACCCTCCGCCCCTCCCACACCCCCCCACCCCTCGCCCTCCACCTCCCTCGCCCTCCACTCCCACCCCTCGCCCTCCACCTCACCCTCGCCCTCCACACCTCCCACCCTCACCCCTCGCCCTCCCACCCCCTCACCCCTCCCCGCCCTCCACACCTCCCCTCGCTCTCCCCACCCACACCCCACCCCCACCCTCACCCTCTACACCCCACCCCTCGCCCTCCCCACCCCACCCCTCGCCCTCCCACACCCCCACCCCTCGCCCTCCCACACCCCACCTCGCCTCCACACTCCACCCTCGCCCTCCACACCCCACCCTCGCCCTCCACACTCCACCCTCGCCCTCCACACCTCACCCACGCCCTCCACACCACATCCCACCCCACCCTCGCCCTCCACACCCCACCCTCGCCCTCCACACTCCACCCTCGCCCTCCACACCTCACCCACGCCCTCCACACCACACCCCACCCCACCCCACCCTCGCCCTCCATACCGCACCCTTGCCTTCCACAATGCACACTCGCCCTCCACACCGCACGCTCGCCTTCCAAGGTTGGGTGTGTAGGGCGAGGGTGGGATGTGGAGGGCGAGGATAGGGTGGGTTGTGGAGGGTGAGGTGTGGAGGGCGAGAGTGGTGGTGTCCAGTGGTGTTCTCCTGTACCCTCAGCCTGCTGCTACTGTACCTCTTGTAACTCCACCCAACTGTTGTTGTACCTCCTGTACTCCTCTCTACTTCTGTTGTGCCTTCACGCTAGCGTTTCTGTAACACCACCCGACTGTTAGGGTAATTCCTGTACTTCCACCCTTCTGTTACTGTACCTCCTGTACCCCACTTTACCGTTGGTGTAAAATAATAATAATACATAATAATAATTAGCGGTGTATTGAAACAACATGGCAGCCAGTAGGCTGAAAATTAGTTACATAACTGGGGAATGGATCTCTTGATTGACAAATAATATACAAGTAGCATAAGTGATACAAATATGATATATAATAACAAGGTGGGGAGAAGCTCGTACTACAGGGCATTTCAACATAGTGACAGTGCAAAAAGGTAAGATTGGCTGGGAGTGAGCACAGCGGTTGATTACGATTTGTTGATAATTTTTACAGTGGTTAAGAGTGGGCTGTTCTTATCGCGATCAGTACGTGAGCGTATGTTGTTCCTGCTCTACTGAACAATCCAGTATTTATATTACAAAAACATTTGTACATACATTACAGCAGCTTATACCTCCTGTACCACTGTAGCAGCTGCCGACTCCCTCTCCTCGTACAGCACGCCCCACTAGCTCTAAAAGATAACAGCTCCTTCCTCACCCACAGCCCTCAGACATCACGGAGGTGTGCCAGAGCCCCCTGGTAATGGCCCAGCAGCTGACACACATCGAGCTGGAGAAACTGTCGTACATCGGTCCCGAGGAGTTTGTCCAGGCCTTCGCTAAAGACAACCTGGACGCCTGCTACAAGGACCTCAAGAAGACCAGTAACCTTGAGTCTTATATCCAGTGGTTCAACAGACTCTCCTACCTGGTCGCTACCCACGCCTGTACAGTACGTAGATAGTTTAATATTTTGTTGTTTGCCTCAGGTGATGCTATTTACCGCCAGCCAACAGCCCATATAAACGTTTACACCATAAAACACCAAGAGTGAAGGTACATTTAGCAAACTACGTACTCCAACACTTAGGTCTGAAGGGTTGACCAAGAAAGAACTTGAGTCACCAAATTGCCCCATCAAATACTCGAATCTTAGAAGGTTGTACATGAAAGAAGAGAAAATAGTTGACTGTAAACAAGGAGGGGCTGTAGATTCCTGTCCGTTGTAAAGAGGTGCGCCAGCAGTTTGTTGAAAGTAGCGGGTTTTACTGCAAGTCAAGGTAGAAATGGAATAGGGATATTTTTTGTGAATTTCTTAGGGTGAGATACAGTCCTTAGGGATTGAATTCCTACAAGTTATAGCTGGAGAGGAATAGTGAATAAGATTTATGAAGCTAATTTTAATTTGTAAGAGATATGGAGTAAACCCAGCAGGTGGTCAACACAGGTACTGAATGATCTGTTAATGTTTGGTTTTTTAGCTTTAAATAAACTAGAATAAAAACAAGTTGTGTTTAGAATTGTTTATGTTCAGAATGTGTTTAATTAGATCATAAGTTTTCAATTTGTTGGGCTAATGAGCTGAGCTATTGGCAACAGGGGATTGTGCCATCTATATTTTATTTTCATGTCTAAATTATTCGGTGTGTTTTGTTAAATTTATTACATTTTTTACTGCCAAATTAAATTATGTAGGTGAGGTTGATGGTGTGAAGTTGAATACATATGTGTGAGGATTTACGTAGCTACCTGTGAGTGTTCGTAGGTGTGAAGTTTGTTGCCTGTATGTATGGTGTTATGTAGTTACCTGTGAGTGAGTGTTACACCTGCCCTTCCACAGCACGTGAAGAAGAAGCAGAGAGTGCGGGTGATAGAATGGTGGATCGAGGTAGCCCGAGAGTGTTTCAACATTGGTAACTTCAACTCCCTGATGGGCATCATCGCCGGCCTCAACATGTCTATCGTCTCCAGACTTAAAAAGACGGTGAGTAGTTCTCCGCCTGGTGACTCATGGACATAATTCGCTTAATGAATGAAATATTGAGTAGAATTTCTTTAGACTTTGCATGATGTAAAATCCATTCAACAGTATATTTACAAAGTACTAAAGATATTATGTTTTTGTATCCAAGTGTTGTCAATTCACTTATAACAGATTAAAGTATTTTTCTTGGCTCGGCCCATTAGCACAATTGCATCTTGTTTCGCTATAAATAAAATGTCTAGTTATTTGTATAGTTCTCCATAGTGCACAATTTAATACTCATATATATATATATATATATATATATATATATATATATATATATATATATATATATATATATATATATATATATATATATATATATATATTATAATTTTTACTGTAATATCCATATATTGTAATCAAAAGATATACGTAAGCCCTTAAATGAGGTTTCATTATTGTGATCTATTGTTTAATACAACAAATGTTGCTGCTGCCAGCGAACAAAAATACATTCTTTTGTGGTGTCTCTTACCCTCGGCTCAATGTTTTAATGGTTAAATCATGTATTTGCTGTACTATTTTCCATTCAATAAATAATTTACTTTTTTTATTATTCATAATATGCAATGCACATTTTTAACTTATGCAAAAATTGCCGTCATGTTACCGAGTGTGTGTCTGTCTCACAGTGGAGTAAGGTTCAGAGTGCAAAGTTCTCTGTGCTGGAGCATCAGATGGACCCCTCCAGCAACTTCAGCAGTTATCGCTCCACGCTGAAGGCGGCCATGTGGAGGTCTGCAGGAGCTGTTGATGACAGACAGAAGATAGTAATTCCCTTCTTCAGCCTTCTGGTCAAGGACCTTTACTTCCTGAACGAGGGATGCGCCAGCAGGTGAGGGATGTTGTTTTCCTGCAGGAAGAGTAGTCCTTAGATGTACTGATTACATAGACCATCATGTTATTACTGTTAGGCAGATGTTGAGAAGGGACGCTGCACTGGCTGTTACCCAAAATGTTTAGGACGATGCACTACATGACCTGTTATCAGTGCTTGCTAGGGTGATTAGATAGAGAATGATATATTTCTCTGTTAGAAGAGTGATGACTTCCCTCCCTCCTCTAGATTACCAAACGGACACATCAACTTCGACAAGTTCTGGCAGTTGGCGAAGCAGGTAACGGAGTTCATGGCGTGGAAGCAGGTGACATGCCCCTTCGAGAAGGTACCAGAGGTGATCCACTATATGCAGACTACATATGTGCTCACAGAAACAGGTAAGGTCACGGTCACGCTCGACTCGCTGGCATGTTACGATACTGTAGTTGGTTGACAGTTTCCTCCGTGACAAAGTTGGTTCACACTTAACATGTTATTGGTGATGTGATGTTAAAAATTTTCCCCTTTCTATTATAAAAAAAATAGCATTGTGTATAAGAATGTTCAAGAAGGTTAAGAACCAAGTTCAATTTTATTTTATTTATCATTCGTGTGTCAGGGACATAGTAATACGTGGTTTAGCTCTTTCTCGGGCTAAGAATGGTAAAGGAGCTTAGTGAAGCCTGCATAATGGTCTGTAAGAATCCTGCCATGTCCACAGATCTATTTTTTTTTTAATTATTATCTCCTGTCTGATACCTGGCTTACATACAGTGTAATAATGCCCTTGCTGGTTGCTGCCTCGACCTCTTGTTAAGGAATGTGTGATGTTTGTATTCAGCGTAGACTAAAGAGAAGATGGACGTTAATCTTGTGTGTGTTCCTTGTAGGGTTGGCGTTGGCGTCCTTCGAGTGTGAAGGTCCAGACAACAGCTACGAGAAGGAGCGGTACAAGAACCTCAAGTAAGTAGGACCTTTGTCAAGTGTACCATTACATGTGTTGCATAGTTGAATATTAATGTTTATTAATAATTTCGTGGATAAAAGAATAATATTCATGGGAAAATAATTTGATAAAATTTTAAGAACAGTTTTCGCTAACATTTTCCATCTTTTTCCAGGGCTGACACACAGCAGTCAGCTGAAAGCGATCGTCATAACTGAACTGCCTCCTGGGTTACAAACCCTCGTCCTTTTGCTGCCTAGTGAAACTCAAACCCTTGTCCTTGAGCTTCCAGAGCCACCACGGCACAGCAGCTTCCTCTATACCAGTGACCATTGGCAAAGTTATATACCGCGAAGATACCACAAACTTACCTTACTTCAAACAAGAGAGAAATTAAAAGTGTCGTTCGAGTGAAAGTCAATAAACAATGTATTTTACAGTTCGTGGTGGATTGGAGTGAAAGTTTTCTTAGAGGCTTGTGAGGTGAAGAATAACTACTTCAAAGCCGCAGGTTTGTGTTTTTGGAACTGCTCTTAACTTGGTCCTGTCTCGTGCTGAGATCTGAATCTGGAAGTGAGTTGAAAAAGTTGTGGTTGCGATCAGAACAGAAACCTTAAAATTCTGTATCGCTGCACAGCACAGCTTCTGAAAGTGAGACTTTTTAAAGTGCATCCAGTCTGTTACTTGTGAAATAATTAGTATTTACGTGTTAGCTATCACATGTTGGAGTGTCACACGACCAACAAGAGAGAGAGTGCGCGTGTGTGTGTGCGTGTGCGTGTGTGTGCGTGTGCGCGCGCGCGCTTGTGTGTGGAACGATGGTTGTGGAAATCTGAGAAATGGTTTATTAAGTACGTGTATATACAACTGTTAACCTTTTTTTTTTAATTATTATTATTATTGATACAATGGTGCACGTTGGGAGTGGATGGGGGCCGGATTTTGGAGAGGTAGTATACTGTACAGTATGTGTGTGAGCTCCTGAAGCCTGACACCAAGGTACTGTGTTAAGGACACGAGTCAGAGGGAGTCAGGTCACGACTATGAATCTTTGAGTGGAAATTTATTCTTTACTCAGCCACATTAATTTTGATCGGTGTTTGTATAGTCAGTATATAAATTATAGACAATGTTTATTTACATTGGTGTGTATGTTTTAGCTAGTCTGAATTTAAGTTGTGTTTTATTGAATTCTAAAAGACAGTATAGCTTATGTCCGGTATAATATATCTATAATAACTACCTTCAAGAGTCGGCAAATGATTTCTTTAAATTTTTATTATGGATAAATTGTCACTGATCTTTGTGTCTCGCTCGAGTCATTTCAGTTACTCTTGTTCCTGACATTCCATAATTAGGCCGGTGTTGCTAGTAACAATGTAACTGGAGAGTCAGACAATCGGCTTCTAGTTTTCTAAGCTACTGATTGGGTCGAGAGAGAGAGAGAGAGAGAGAGAGAGAGAGAGAGAGAGAGAGAGAGAGAGAGAGAGAGAGAGAGAGAGAGAGAGAGAGAGAGAGAGAGAGAGTGCGTGCGTGCTCCAGTAGGTGGTTGCTTTTCTATTTTTGCTTTATATCTGGTAAAAAAGATCGCCAAAGAGTCACAAAACAAAGGTAAAATGCATGAAGAATGGGCAAGTGCTTCGGTTTCCATTTGTGCATTTCATTACTAACTTTACACTTACGTCTTTAAATGTTGCTTGTGTCAACCCTCCTTTATACATTTTGTCTGTTCTGACGTCTCTTTATATTCAATCCAGTTTTATTATATGTTTGTTCTCATATCTCCTGTATTGACCATGATTTTAACCCTGTCTTAAGAACCCCCTGTTTAGACATGTACGTTTCCATATCTCCCGTGTTTATCCCAGATTTTCCCTCTCAACCACCTGCTATGTCCAGTAGGATGCATTCCTGGTGTCGGCACTTCTCCCAATGTCCTTTCCATCCCTTTTATTAATATTACGTTACATTACTTGGATAATTTTCCCATTATATTGATATTCTAGTTTGGTGAGAATTATTATCATAATTTTTAGGCAAACATTTATATGGAAGACGATCTGTGTATATATTTATATATATCTATATATATTTATCTGTCAAAGTTTCTTTATTATTATGCTCTTATTATCTTATTTAAGAGATTATAGTTTATTGGTATGTTCACTTTATTGGTATGTTTACTTGTGGTATAGCCAAATGTATGCGTGGTTATACTTTTTGAGTGTCCACCTGTCGTATTCCTTAAAATGTATGTACTGTAATTGGTATACTTACAACAACAACTTTTAAGTCCTATTTACTCGTGCGTATGTGTGTGGCAGTGGACTGTGTGTATGTCTTGTTTTTCAAGTGTGCGTACAAACTTATAAAACCAAAGATTTCTTATGTTCTGATTAAATCCTTGGACAAAACCTTCAGCGTGATAAGATATATATATGAAAAGTCACGTCACTAAAGTGGTATTATATATTTTGAAATATATGTATAGAAAAATGATAAAAGCTGAGGGTTTTGTCGAAGGAGAGATTTTGCTTTTGGTGTAAATAGTAACTCCTGTAAAGCACCTTATTTTTCTCTGTATAATTTGTATACTTGGTAGTGATATGATCTGATACACCTCCCTTACCCACATCGACACCCACAGTCCTCCTCGAACCATACGCCACCCTGCTGCTGCTACCATGGCAATATCAATATAAGCTGTTCCACGTCCCTACTGTATACCACAGTCACATCGCCCGTGGCGTTTTGAACCCACACCCTCGCTTGCCTTCCTCCTCGTCATTGTTCACTCCCTACCCCTGTTTTACAATGTTTACCCTCTTGGTCTACACTGTCACCCTTAACCTATGTACCCCTTGCCCAATTTCGTAACTCACTTTTCGTCACTTTGTTCCTCGGCTGTCAGTATCTACCCTGCTGATAGCCCTGCACAAGGTTCGTTTGGTTTTGATTTACTATCTATTACACCGAGCCTCATTACCATGTGATGTCTTGTTTTGCTTCATACATCGTCGTGCTCGGTGACCAATGATGAATCTCGCTCCTCTTGGACACACTTAAATAATACAGTATCTGTCTTTACCTCCACGAGAAAGAATACGCCATGAAAGCCTGAGTTCCTCTGAAAGTTGTAGAAAAAAAAAGCTTGAATTGCTCACTTCGTCAAGTAACATTCTGAAGTCCTTTAAAAACACTTGTAAGTGTAAAAATCTTCCCCCAAATTAATAGACTGTGTATTTAGTACTGTACAGTGTAATTTTTCAAAATATATATTGTATGTACTGTACGTATATTGTATGTACATATATCGTATGTATGTATATTGTATACGTATATCATGTACGTATATTGTAATGTACGTATATCGTATGTGTGTGTATAACGAATGTGCATATATCTTACCTATGTACTGTATATCTCATACGTATATCGTGTATACGTATATCGTATGTGCGTACACCATATGTGCATACATCATATGTGCGTACATCTTATATGCGTGTATCGTATGTACTTATATCAAATGTGCGTACATCATATGTGGACACCCAAATTTGTTTCCAAAGGTTTTAAGGAGTTGTTTTTTGTTTTTGTGTGTGTACGTCTGGGGTACAGATGGCTAAATATCTGACTTGGGATCACCGATACGTACGGTTCAGTGTAAATCATCAATGAAGAATGAAACTACAGTATATATCACCATTTCTTACTTGTCACCTATTATCGTTTTTAATCGACGATGCTAAATGTATATCGTATTACTTCACTCTTACCATTTTCACTATTCAAATGGCACTAGTAGTGAGCGTTCTCGAGATTCTTAGCTAAACTCGGCATTTGACAAGCTAGCAGTATTGTTTTGGTTACGCCAGTACTTTTATAGTCACAAATAATATGGAGGATATAGACATCAACATAGTTTTTCCTCAAACATCGTACAGCGTTGTAAATGTGATATTGGGCCAGGTAGGAAAGCACACCTGTCTGGATGACTCTCCAACACATACTTTGACTGTATAATCCCAGTTGTCTTGAGGGGAATACGCGCGAAGTTTGTGCTTTAACGAAATTTTGAACTCTTTCCCATTTAGATGCTATATTCAACTGATGTAGCGAGAGTTGATCCCGTCATGAATGATAAATATGTATGGGAGAGGAAAATTTGGTAGTTCAGGAGGGATTAGAACCTAACCGCCTAAGAAAAAAGTGTTGTAAAACATTCAATGGGACTTTAATTCATTGGACTGCGTTAATCGAAAGAGATCATCAGACTGGGGCTTCAGGTAGCAGCAGATTACTCGTGGTGTTGGTGAGTGTGGTGGTGGTGGCACTGGGTGAGCTGTGTAGTGTGTGCAGTAAGAGTGTACTTGCAGCGTGTATTAAACCTGCAGGATCTTGTATGTAGCATAATGTACTCACCTGGCTACTTGTGTGGTTATACACAGTACTTTTTTGGGGGAATTGAACGTGCACTGTCCGGCACGTATTTCCAATATTGGGACATTCAGTCAGGTTACATCTGGCCGAGCGACTCTGCTCATCTGGTCGAAGAGCATCTTTACCAGTCTGGTCGGATGACCGAGCTCATCTGGTAGAGCACTGCTAGAGGATTGCAAAACACGTCGACCAGGCTGGTAGCGTTGTATGATCTGGGTTAGGTCGCACTAACGGGACCTGTATCTGCTGTCATCACCAATCATTTAAATAAATATTGCAGCTATTTGTAGTAACTTAATCTGCACCATGTAAATAAAAATACAGACATCTTTTACATTGTGTGTTTATATATTAACATCCTAAGAAAAAAATCAGAAAATGAACAGCCAAAGATAATTATTTTTACCAAACCCCATTTTCTTTCTTTAAACATAGAAAAACGGTTAGGTTTCATCAGAGAAAATGGTTACTTTTGTGGGTTAGGTTTCATCAGAGAAAATGGTTACTTTTGTGGGGTGGTGGTGTGTTGGGGTGGTGTGTGTTGGGGTGGGGTGGTGTGTGTTGGGGTGGGGTGGTGGGTATGTTGGGGTGGGGTGGTGTGTTGTTGGGGTGGGGTGTGTTGGGGTGGGTGGTGTGTTGGGGTGGGGTGGTATGTTGGGGTGGGGTGGGTGTTGTTGGGGTGGGGTGGGTGGTGTGTTGTTGGGGTGGGGTGGTGGTGTTGTTGGGGTGGGGTGGTTGTTGGGGTGGGGTGGTGGAGTGGGGGTGGGTGTGTGGGGGTGGTGTGGGGTGGTGTGTGGGTGGGGTGGTGTGTGTGGGGTGGGGTGGTGTTTGGGGTGGGGGGGTGTTGGGGTGGGGTGGTGGTTTTGGGGGTGGTGGGTGTGGGGGGGGGTGTGGGTGGGGTGGGTGGGTGTGTGTTGGGGTGGGTGGTGTGTGTGTTGGGTGGGGCGGTGGGGGTGTGGGGTGGTATGTGTGGGGGGTGGTGGTGTGTGGGGTGGGGCGGTGTGGGGTGGTGTGTGGGTGGGGTGGTGGGGGGGTGGGGTGGTGAGGGGTGGGGTGTGTGTGTGGGGGGTATGTGTTTGGGTGGGGTGTGTGTTGGGGTGGTGGTGTGGGGTGGGGTGGTGTGTGTGTTGTGGTGTGTGGGGTGGTGGGGTGTGGGGCGGTGTGTGGGGGGTGGGGGTGTGGGGTGGGTGGGGTGGGGTGGTGTGGTGTGTATGTTGGGGGGGTGGGGTGTGTGTTGGGGTGGGGTGTGTGTGTGGGGTGGGCGGTGTGTGGGGGTGTGTGTGGGTGGGTGTGTTGGGGTGGTGTGTTGGGTGGTGTGTGGGTGGGCGGCGTGTGGGGGGCGGGTGTGGGGTGTGTGTGGGTGGGGCGGTGTGTGGGGTGTGTGTGTGTGCCAATATATACAAAAATTCATATAGCCACACAAAATACTTAGCTAATCTATACAGCCAATCATAACGCTTTGCTAATGTATACAGCCAATCATAACGCTTTGCTAATCTATACAGCCAATCATAACGCTTTGCTAATGTATACAGCCAATCATAACGCTTTGCTAATCTATACAGCCAATCATAACGCTTTGCTAATCTATACAGCCAATCATAACGCTTTCCTAATCTATACAGGTAATGCAGGTAATTTCAAGCGCTTAGTAATATAATCTTCAACGTTCAATGGCTGTGTAATGAGACGACTGTGTTATGGAGCCAGTCTCTTTAATCTATGCAGCTTAATGAATCTATAATGAGGGGAAAAAATTAATGAACTTGGCAGAAAATGTTCCCCACTTTTACGTCTGTCTGCCATTTGTTTCTAATTTATTAATAGATAAAAATACTTAATTTAACATTTGCTTTCATCAGTACTTGTATCCTTAGGGGTTATTAATATTTATAATTGGAATTCGTTTTCAAATGATGCGATGAGATGTCCACCAATCACGATGCAGTACACAGAGAAGGAATCAACGCCATGATTATACACCAATCAGCATACAGTACACCACTACAAATGATACGTCATCTGATGAATCCACAAATTACGACCCCCATACATCATAATAGGATGCAACGTCATCAAAAGTACACAAATCACGATTCAGCATAGGTTGCGACGTCATCAGATGTCCACCAATCACGCTGCAGTACATCACAATAGAAAGCGACGTCATCAGATATCTCCCAATCACGACAAAGTACTTCACAATAGCTGGGTCAGGGAGGGCTGATGGGTGAGGCCAGGCAAAGCTTTTTACAGTGAACAGGTCAATGATTGGGTCAAGGTTGGTGTTCATAGAGATGGCTGATATAACTAAAAACTAAACACAAGTTATATAATACGTCAAACTAAACTACACAGTAACACTTTAAAAAAATCGAAGAAAATATGAAACCTCAATTTAAAACACTATGATCACACATAAATGATAACAAGCAGATGGGAGTTAACACCTTGCTTGTCTTTAATTAAGGTGAGATTATAAAGGCAACATCTCCCACCTTGGCTGCTCCCATCATAACAACAGTACCTCCAGATAACAGTCCCTGGCGTTCTCCTCCATGGTAGTTACTCCCTTATAAAATCTACGCCAGACGGACACTCGCCAGCCTATTGCCTACATTGGAACTTAAGAGATTTTCTATACGCCATTCACATAGAACCTTGCCTGGCCAAGAATAGAATCCTGGTCCGGTAAGCAGTGAATTCATCGTGTCATCTGTGAATCAAGAACTTTACATTCACAGGTATAGTAGCTAAAACAACTATCGGTGCATACTTTATGGGAAACATTATGAGACCATAGACGATAAATTTTGGTATATGAGGGCTGTCACTAGTCACACGTAAAATTTCGGAGCATATCGACCGCCACCTGCACAGATAGTTGTTTTAGCTACTGAACATAAATTGTAGAAATCTTGAAAGGAATAATATTTTTTATAAGACATCCTCCATATAGAACAGTATATGGAGAATTTTATTGTTCTATTTAAAAGAATTCCCTGTTTGTGTGGGAACATACACTTGCCTATATTTGCCTCATCTCCGCTTATATCCTCCAAATTCTACTAACCATCATTAAAGGTAAACCTTTAAAATAGATAATTCAAATAATTTATGTGTAGGAATGTATGGAAATCAAATTAAGCTAAACAAAAATTGGTAAGAGAGCTGCTCCATCAGGGATGGTGAATGACCTCCCTCATCATAAGAGCAGAAGAATGGAGGAAACTGCAGAGGGCCTATTGGCAGTTAACCATGCTGGTGCCTCCTGCCCGGGAAACGTTTAAAGCGCCAATGTTTTGATGATCACGGGTACCAACCTTCAAGTCTTCCGCCAGTTGATGCACCTGACTACACCACGATGACATAGTAACAACACACGACGGTCGGGTACCACCGTGGCCATTCTTCAATAATTGGTAATTTTTTCTTCCATTGTTAGGGCCAATTGCTGTAGTATCACCATGGTTGGTGTGCAAGAAGCGTTCTGGGCTAAAAAAAAAAAAATCTACGATTCGTTATTGGAACGTGGAAGATTTCCGTGGTACTCGTACCCTGCCCGATGACCACTATGATGGAACTATATTTTGAAACCAAAAGAAAAGAAATAGAATTGGATGCACATGACTTGTATAAATCTGCAAAGGAATAATATTTTTTATAAGATATCCTCCATATAGAACAGCACATGAAGAATTTTAGTGTTCTTTTTAAAAGAATTCCATGTTTGCTTAGGAACAACCGCCAGCCTCTACTTGCCTCATCGCAGCTTATATCCTCCAAACTCTCCTAACCATCATAAAAGTAAGCCTTTAAGATAACTGATCCAATTAATTTATGTGTAGAAATGTATGGAAATCAAATTAAGCTAAAAAAAAAGTCGTAAGGGGTCTTATTGAAGAGTGATGAAAACTGCTCCATCTGGGATGGTGAATGACGTCCCTTATCAGAAAAAATTTCGACCCAATTTTCATAATGAGCGCAATTAATAACCGTCCACCACAACAAAAATAACTATTTCATTAGTATAAATATTTAGTAGCCTAAATTTCATATTTTAATAAGTCAAATATGCCAGGTAACCAGCGCTAGGTACTTCCCAGGCATGTTTCATTTGTGTATCAGTTTAACCACAATTTGTTACTTATAAGATAAATTCAGTGACATAAATTCATGTTCTTTTTTTTAATTCCCTTAGTGACTCAGTGTATTGCAAGAAAGAACTACCTTACCACTTTTTGTGCAACATTTGGAGTGGTGGTAATAATTCACTTTGCCACTGACAGTGGTAAAATCAAGTGCAGATAAATTGGCTTTGTATGTCCATGATTCGAACAAAAATGAATAATGTCTTCCAAAATAAATGAAATTTAAGGTCTTATTATCTTTTCGGTCATCCAGGGAATTTTAGGATTTTAAGTTGACCAATGTTTTCCAGTTACGTTAAGTTAGGTAGGTTAGGTTAACATTTTGATTTAGAACATTAAAATTTTAAAGGGCTTATAATTTTTTTTTCTATGAATTTCTCCAAAAAAAGGGATCAAATTTTTGGAATCACCATAAAAATCTACATTAGAAAAAATTTTTTTAGTGTGTGTTGCATATCAAACCAAGCAAATCTGAGTTTCCATTGGAATTTTTTATTTTTTTATTTTTTTTTAACAGATAAAATTACCCATAATATGTAGGTGTTGAAAACTTATAAATATTAACCCTCATAAATAAAGATGTTTCAGAATTTGCAAATTTAACTAACACAATATTAATGAATTTATTTTCACTTACAGGTGGAGATACAGCTGACTATTCACCTTTCACCAATACTGAAGAAATAAATCTTGGTATCATGATTAATGGGGAATTTTTCAGGTTCCAGGGAAGATTTTGGAATTGGCTACCTAGCCTAACCTCGGAATTGGTTCCCAGACCCGGAACAGAAAAATTTGGAGACTTTCCGTAAATTCCCCAAATTACTCATAGACCAGAAAAAATGCAGTTTCTGGAATTTATTGAAAATATACCTTGGAGAAATCATAACATATGCCTTAACTATTTTTTTTACACTCTGCAACACATACATGGATATTACATATTAATATATTTGTGAAATTCGTGGATGATTTTTCTTTTAAAATACTCTACTCTTGATCATCCATATACTATAACATATCCTACTTTTAATAAAGGCTATATTCTGACATAAGCATTATCATTGTATTCTTATCCTTATTATTATTACAGTTTATATTAAACATTAAAAAATACAGGAATAATTTGCAATTAACACTGCGGACTGTATTGAGGATATTTTTAAACCATTTAATTATCATC